GTTAGCGGATTTTCTCTCCATCAGGACAGTGGATCTGCGCACAGCTGCAGATGGGAAAATTGGCCCTAGCGCTTCTTTGTACGGTATCCCAGGAGAGCATATTAATGTGTCAGAATTGAACGTGGTATATATTGTATTGTGTCCACATCTTATGCGACTAATATTCATTATAGCAAATTAAGTTATTAATGTATTGTATTATTGTGCCATTATATGTCTGGCAGTTTATTGCTCCATTCCCTGCTATCCCGTGCAATCAGCTCGATACCACGGACGGAACGAAGTCCAGCACCTCTAGTTTCTCTCATCAAAGTTCGCTCTAGGTTGTTTTTGTTTGCCTCATCACCTCCCCAAGACTTCTATTTCTCAGTATATTACATGTTTAGTGATTTTCTGATCGTTTCCTCTAAGGATGTGTTCATTTTAGTGCTCTTTGCGTTGTCTTTAAAATGGTTGCCGAGACATTTCTGTTATTTCCTTACTCCTCTTAAATTCATCAACTTTTTATGTTCATCACTTTACTCAGGCATTTCTTTTCGAATGTACTTAACTTTCGTTCCATGTCTTTAGTTTTTTACCAATCACCAAAGGCATATGTTAAAACTAAAATAACATTACAATGAAAATACTTCTTGGATTTATGCTACAGTGGAACTTAAGGAGCATAATTCGTTTCAGAATCATACTTGTAAAGCCAAACACTCGTTATGCAAAACAATTTTTCTCATATAAATTAATGTTAAATACGATAATGCGTTCAATGTCGAAAAAATACTCACAAAATGTTATGTATAAAGTTTATTGCAAGAAAATTATATTCATATTGTTAAGGAGAGTAAATCATCTTCATCTTTTCTTCCACCGCGGAATGAACCTACCTGGAATGCGAATTTGAATTGCAGAAAAAAAATCGAAATAATTATGATACATACCTATTTATTTTTTACTAGAAGGATGTCCAGAGACATTTGTTTTCGCCGACGCTTCAAAATTTGGCGAAAATGCGACACAGCATTATCATTAAACAAAATTAGCAGCGCGCATAGCCACTTCCTCATGAGGGTGATGCTTCTAAATGTAAGATGCAACAGTTTATCTTGCTTTCAGCGTTTCTCTTATTTCGCCAGAAGATTGTTGCTTTTCTCTTACCTCCTCCTCTGACAAACGTTCCTCCAAAACTGCTTGCTGTGAAACACAATGCAACTCCATAAGCTCTTCAGTGGTCAGCTCTTGACTGTGCTCTTCCACAAGCTCTTCGATATCACTGTCATCCACGTCCAATCCTATGATAGTGGCTGAAGACACAATGTCTTTGACTACAGATTTCACAGGTACTGTCTCGAAACCCTCAAAGTCACATTCGACAACGCTCTCCGGTCAAAGCTTCTTCCAGGCAGAAGTTAGGGTTCTCTTGGTAACCCCGTCCCACACCTTGTCGATTATCTTGAGGCAGGTAACGATGTGGAAGTGATTTTTCCAAAATTCTCTGAGAGTGAGGTTGGTCCCTTCAGTCACCTGGAAAAAAAAATGCTCAAAGAGTGCTTTAGTGTAGAGCTTCTTAAAGTTAGAAATAACTTGCTGGTCAATGGGCTGGAGAAACGGAGTGGTGTTGGGAGGCAGAAACGGGATCTTGATGAACTAATATTCTTTAGGGAGGTAATCTTGTAGGCCTGAGGGATAGGCAGGAGCGTTATCCATAACAAGCAAGGCATGGAGTGGCAGATTCATCTCAAGAAAATATTTTTTCAAGGAAGGACCAAACATATCGTTGATAAACTCAGTAAAAAGGTCACGTGTCACCCAAGCCTTCCTGTTGCACCTCCACATCACATTTAGCCGGCTCTTCTGGATATTGTATTTTTTTAAGGCTCGTGGAGTTCCTGAATGGTAAACAAGCAGCGGTTTAATTTTTAAATCGCCGCTTTCATTGGCACAAAATAGCAATGTGAGATGGTCTTTCATTAGCTTGTGGTTGGGCAATGCATTCTCATCTACTGTTATATACGTTCGCTTTGGCATCTTTTTCCAGAAGAGACCTGTTTCGTCACAATTAAAAACCTGTTGCGGCAAGTAACCTTCAGAATATATGAGCTTCTTAAATTCGCCGATGAAGTTTTCTGCTGCTTTTGTGTCGGAGCTTGCTGCTTCACCGTGCCTCACAACGCTGTGGATGCAGGTTCTCCTCTTGAACTTCTCAAACCGCCCACGGCTTCCCTTTAAATTCTTCTTCTTCGGCCGTTGATGATCCCTGCGTCTTCTTAACGAGGTCGGCGAAAATCATGTTCGCCTTCTCACAAATGATGTTCTTGTTAATAATGTCATCTTGCTGGTTATTTAACTTTATAAGAAGGAACCTTTTAACATCGTCGAGAATACGTAACCATTGCGCAGATATTCTTGTCACTCCCTGTGAAGCATCTATCTCCTTAATCTTGTCCTTGTTCTTAAGACAGTGCAAATCGCTGATGTAAACTGATTGTATGTGCGTGCTAGATCAGCAACGCTTACACCTCGTTCTCGCTTTTCAATGACTTGAAGATTTTTTCTATGGTTATTTTCACCCTCTTATGGCTGTTTTCTTGTGGCTTTTTCTTCGGGGACATTTTTGCAAGGCTTTATTAAACTTTTTACACAAAAATATATTTCCTAATGATCCTACTAGTAATTATTTCAAATAATTTTTTGCATGTACATATAACACAATATAACACAATTTTGGGTGATCACAAGAGTCACTACGATGCTACTGGAACGAGTGCTAAACACACATTGATGTAACATGCCTACAATCTGGCACTTACCCTCTCCTCGCCACTCGCTATGCGAAACGTCGCTCGTTAAGCAAGTCATTCTTTTACAATTTGTTTTGCTCGTTATGTGAATTACTCGTTGTGAGAGGTGCTCGTTTAAGGAGAGTCTAATGTATACAATTTACAATTCCATAGTTTGTTCAGGTTTTGAAAAGATCGCCAATGCTTCCAAATTTTTTTTCCTTTCTTTGTATTTCCTTCGATATCAAAATTATTACCTAAGAAGCAAACTGATCTGTTACTTTAATTCCTGTTGTCTCTAGTGTTACGTCAGCTTTATTTGCTATTGGTGTCGTCAGTATATTCGTCTTATAATACATATTGATCGTTTACCTAAATTGTGTTATTTACTGGACACGGCATTCATGTTTGAAGTATTATTTATAGTGGTTTTACTGATTCCATCAATATAATTACAGGCATTTCTAGGACCAATTCTGCACAGTATTTTTTTTAGCGTTCACCAGGTGTAAACTCTGGCGGAAAGTTTTGGTTGTTCATCCACTTCTGGGTTTTAGTTTTGTTCGAGAACGTGTGTTTTGTGTGTACTTCAGTTTTACCGATCTGGCATATTTGTTTGCAGACTATTAGTTCGTTGCTCCTAAAACTGACATGCTCCGACTCCGAAGAAAAAACACCTATAATTAGTCAACTTTTACAATATGCTTGTAATGGGGTGGTGGTTCTATCCCCACCCCCACCCTCACCCAACCAGCTCCCTTCACCACGAAAATGGGACCTTGCAATCAAAACATGGATGCGCAGTTAAATTCTGTATTCTCAGTCTATCGACGCAGCGCTGGTTTTGTCAAAATAATTTCTGAATACTTTTGTTACAGAACTGGGCTGCTTCATATTACCAGACTCTCGGAGTTCCTTCTGAGAAAATCAACATTGGCATTCCCACCTATGGTCGAACGTTCACTCTAATGAATGTAGGTGCACATTTAGTGGGATTTCCTGCTTCCCGTGATGGAAACCCTGGGAAACTGACCGAGACAAATGGAATAATGAGTTACTTTGAGGTAAGTAGCAAATGAAGCTTGCTTGCTGACGTGGTAATAATATGTTCAAATCCCTATCCTGGTGAAGGGCAAAGGATTAGGGTAACGTGAGCTGGGCTCTAAGGTACGACTATAAGGAAAGAAAACAACAGTTGTTGTGTGTTGGAGTCATTGGGCATGTAGTGATGGACGTACATTTAGTTTGACCGTTAAGCACTGAACTCGTTAACATTACGCAGACCGCCTTTGATATCTCGATCATTTACTGGTTGGTACCAGCTGCACGCTATACTTGTCACTCTACTTGTCTGTCTATTGAAAGCTAATTTCAGTCTTGCTTTAAAATATTGTATATTACATTTAAATACATATCTGTGATATACGTACGCGCACACACGCGCACGCGTACACACACATATATACAAACACACATATATATTTGGCTTGTTGCCTAACAGTGGCGTAAAGTCAAGCAACTGACCCTTTTCCTTAATAAGACAGCTACTGTGTCAATGGAATTAAAGAAAAACTCTTCTCTTGCTGCTAAAGATGGTGACGGAGCACTTATTGGAGTGTCTTGGGTGTTATGATGTCGATTCTTAATTCAACATTCTACATTCAATGCGTACTGGGCATATAAGGCTAGACCTATATTCTATAGAAGAATCGATGGGTGATATGGTCAGCAACACACGGGCTGCCTTTGCTTCCCAGAACTGCACCTGGTACCCAATCAAGGCTGGGTCGACCTGAGAGCCAAGGTCATTTGTGAAAATAATCCGGCTCAGTTCGGACGCGAACCCACGACCTTCAAATCTGACTCCCGGATGCAAAGAAAATTGTATATGCTGCCCTCTCAGACATTGACAAACAGTTCTCGACCAAGTATAAAGACCATAAAATGAAGGAAGAAGAAGATTGCTTGCAGAAAGATTGCTTGTGCTGCCTGATACTTCCACATACCTGGGGACATTTGTGTTATCTAATTAATTGAACTGTAGTTGCTAGTTAGAAGGTTACTTAATTAGACTGATAATTAGTTTGTTGGTGGGTTAGTTAGTTAGTTAGTTAGTAAATTAATTAATTAGTTAGTTAGTTAGTTAGTTAGTTAGTTAGTTAGTTAGTTAGTTAGTTAGTTAGTTAGTTAGTTAGTTAGTTAGTTAGTTAGTTAGTTAGTTAGTTAGTTAGTTAGTTAGTTAGTTAATTAATTAGTTAGTTAGTTAGTTAGTTAGTTAGTTAGTTAGTTAGTTAGTTAGTTAGTTAGTTAGTTAGTTAGTTAGTTAGTTAGTTAGTTAGTTAATTAGTTGGTTTATTGTTTAGTTAGTTAGTTAGTTAGTTAGTTAATTAATTAGTTAGTTAGTTAGTTAGTTAGTTAGTTAGTTAGTTAGTTAGTTAGTTGGTTGGTTGGTTAGTTAGTTAGTTAGTTAGTTAGTTAGTTAGTTAGTTAGTTAGTTAGTTAGTTAGTTAGTTAGTTAGTTAGTTAGTTAGTTAGTTAGTTAGTTAGTTAGTTAGTTAGTTAGTTAGTTAGTTAGTTAGTTAGTTAGTTAGTTGTGTTGGTAGGTGTGTGTGCAGCAATTTATCTGGTTGGTTTATTTGTTGCCTGGCTGGTTAGGTAGTTAATTAGTAAGTTAGTATGTTAGTTTGTCTTTCGACTGGTCGATCAGTCGGCTGGTTGGCTGGTCGGTAATTCCTTCTTAATACACATCTAATCGTTTAGTTATTGTTTCGTCACAATGCAGATGTGTGCGCTTATCCGGGAAGGTGGTAGCGTTATGCGCATCCCTCACAGTCGCTACTATGTCAGGGGTAATCAGTGGATTAGCTACGAGGATGTTGGGAGTGTCATGCAGAAGGTACGAACATTTTTAACTTTGAGTATACAATGGAACCTCAATATATGTTCTTGTTCTGTTCCAATTCGCTGGGCTTACATCAGACACGAGGTATACCAAACACAATTTTCTTATAAGAAAGAAATGAATCATGATTAATCTGTTCATAAGCAAAAAGAATCCCTTTTGTCATTTGCATAATATACAATGACATAATGGGCATGTTCCTTAAAACTACAAAAAAAAAAAAAAAAAAACACACATTTAAAAACAATAAAATGAAATAAATGAAAATGTAACCCCCATTGTGAGAAGACAATTTGAGTGCCTACTAGAATGGTGCTGAGACAGGAGGAGGAAGAGATGTTATTGTCTGGAACGTCCCTTTTGCTATGTAACTTCAGGAATCTGATTCTTAATAAGATTCATGTGGAAATTATTTTAATTTTATTTTTTTAAGGAAATTTCTATCCTTCTCCTACAGTTGTCTGGTTGAAGCTGGCTTTGTTTTTATTTTATTTTTTAAAATATGTCATAAGAACTTTGGTTCTGCCTACTCTTCAGTATATTTTGGAAATGTGACGTTGTCCTGTCATTCCAGATAATGCCACTGGGGCTTTTTTGCGCTTTGTTGATATGGCACGTATGTACAAAGCTTTTTGGCATTAATCTAGCTGGTACTCATTTCCATGATGAATGAGAGCGGTGATAAATGTTATCGAGAAGTGTCGTGATTTATTTTGACTTACCCATGCGCCCCCCCCCCCCCCCCCCTTTACCACGCAAGTCGTATTCCAGACACAGTTCATACACCAAGCAAAAGTTTCCCGTTTAAACAGGGCGTATTGAAAGTTTGGCACGTACCAAAGATGGCGTAGCCTGAGGCAACACTGTATTTGTATATACAATCATAAGGGGAAATTCTAAGTTTTAAACTGACATGTTCTCAGAAGATAATCAGAGTATTATAGACCACGAGTAGGAAAAGTATTGACATTCTTTGATCACACAATCGAGAGGCCCTTTAGTAAACTGAATAAGTGTATTCTACTAACGGATTATTTTTTACTTCAAGCGTATTGGGTATTAAGTGACAGACCTATTTTATACCATAACCTTTGACCCCTTAGGTTCGTGGAGGTGTATCGGTGGAAACACTAGCACATAAAACCCAGCCTCCTTCTCTGTCTTTTGCTTGATGAATAAGTGTATGATAACTTACTTAGTCCTGTTGATTTCCTTATGTTTTAATTCTAGTCTCTTCTTTGCACTCCTCTTCTTCGACTACCCCCGACTGGTCCTTGAAGTACAGTATTTGCAATCGAATAAAGCCCCACAACGTGCCCGCACCAAGCTAGCTTGCTACGTTTCACCACTGCCAATAGAGGCCACTGCTGTCCAGCATGTTGTGTACATTTTGTCTCTTACATAATATTTGTAAGTTTTGTATTCTTTATAACTAATTCGTAAAATGCGTCAGTAGCATTTACATTCGAAAACCACGATACTTATTTCAGTTTCAACTGTGAGGGTCAAACTCTTACGACCGTATTATAAAATAGACGATACCAGTGATATGTATATATTGACATTACCTGCTATGCTGCGAGACAATTGGTTAAGACACAGGCTGGTGGGGTCAAGGCATACACAATACGGCGAAAGGCAATAGGAAACCACTGCTATATACATTCCCCAGTAAACCTACACATTTTAAAGAGGGACGGAGGGGCTGCAATTTCTTAAACATTATGAATGTGCTTATTAATAATAGTTGTTATTATTATTATTTTGTGAGAGTGACAAAAATGTAGAATAGCGTCTGACCGAACGGTTACAACGCTATGCTCTAAAGAGGGTTTAGGGGGGGGGGGGGAATTCGTCTTGTCCAAATGTCAGATACGCTCAGCACGAGGAGTCCGAAGCCTGGCGTCATAACCCAGGTCGACCAACCCCTCAAGAATGTCTAGAACGGATAATGGGCCGAAACAGCTGTTGAAAGGGAACCCGCCTGCTGCTGATAGGTAAACTCCTGCTGTGCATACTTCTGCTGTTGAGTTCTTATTTTTATTATATCCCCTTAGGCTTGTTATGTGAAAGAAAAACTTTACGGAGGCATTACAATGTGGAATCTTGACCTTGATGACTTCAGTGATCAGGGGTGCAGTCAAGGTAAATACCCACTCATCAACACAGCTGCACAAATTTTGAAGTTCGATGACGGAAAGCAATGTGCTTCGTAAGTTTTCTTTCAGTTCTTTATTTATCATTCATGAATGATTTCACTATACGGGTTGAACGATCAATCGCTAGTTGCACCAGTCACTGTTTTTGAATCAAAATTGTTTCTTTAATCGTTAATAAACTGCCATAGACTTTGCTTCCTAAATTGTCTAGATGATCGTTCCATTCGTTCTTTAATTAATTGATTGACTCAATAAATGTTTCCTACATTTACTCACTAATTGTGTTAATCAGTGTGTCGTTAGATATGCTAGTCTCCGCACAAAGTGATATTTGTTCTATCAGAGTCATCAAACAAAATATTTTATACTTCTTGACCATTAATTCATTTCATTGCTCATTCTGTTAATGTAATAAAATGCCACTGTTTCTTGGACGTAAGCTTTCAAGATGATATTTTCATTCATTCATTCATTCATTCGTTCAGTCAGTAATTATACAATAAAGATAGCCAGTTCCTCGCTAGTTGTATGTGTAAGCCCCATTTTGCTGAAGTAATTCCCTGTTTAGATACTAGGACCCATTTTGAAGGGAGACGCCGTGGCCGAGCGGCTGGACGCTCGCCGCGGATCGGAAAGTCGTGGGATTGCTCCCTGATGGAGCTGGACTTTTCAAAAATGACCTTGGCTCCCAGGTAGACATAGCCTTCAGTGAGTAACGGGTGTAGTCCCAGGAAGTAAGGGCGGCCGGCGTGATGCTGACCACATCACCCATCTTGTGCTGATTGGTCTCCAAAAATATAGCTTTTAGCCTTATATGGCCTATACGCCTAAAGGCACGGAAAGAGGTCCTTTACTTTTTATCCATTTGAAAGAGTTGTTGGCAATAGACGTCACCTGCGTAGCGTTTATCTTCTGTCTGTTATCCCGCAGCGGTGTGCCTTTTTGTATCTACTTCTTTATTCTGCAACTGAGTCAAGTATGTGCACAATTTGTTTATCATTAAGGTTTTTTTTTATTTTTTTATTTTTAGAAAAGCCATTTTGTTTCTTTGCTTGTTCCGTACATAGGAAAATGTGGGAAACATACGTAGGGGGTCCGATCTACACAACTAAGTTTCCGGTCAGACCAAGTTCAGAAAACGATTTGGGTAAGGTTGTCATGCAACTGCTTTACTTTTAATTTCTTCCTTTTGTGTTTGTCCAGTTTTTTTCCAGTTTGTACATTTGTTTTTTATGCGTACCTGATGCATGTACTGCCTCACTCTCTGATCTCTGAGGCGAGGGGGTGCAGATGCTCTGCATTTTAATAAGCATGTTGAGCTATCGAATGGGGCAGATATCTCAGCCTAGCTGTAAACGACAATATATAAGAAGGAGGAGGGTGAGAAAAGAAAAAGGAAAAGACAATATCGCGTCTTTGTTCTTCTTGGAACTATTGCGAAGAGCACACATCCACTTACACTAACATACACACACCACCCACACACTCACAGACGGATACGCTAACGCACTCACCAAAACACACACTCACTTGGTTGATAAACTTTCCTAAGTATTTTCCTTTTTGCAACTTAAGCTGTTCCATCTAGTTTTATTAGGGTAGCTATCTTCCTTTTAGCTTTGGTTGCTGTCTTATTGATGTGTTTTTTCCATGTTAACGTATCGTCAAACGTTAATCCGAGGTATGCGGGCTCCTTATCCTCTCTTAATGGCATTCCATTTATCTAAATGACGTATGATTTTTGTTTTGGGGAGAGTTGAAGATGATGGTATTACACTTATCTTTGGTAATGCTGACACACCATTTATCAGCCCGTGCATCCATTGCATCCGCGGGTCTTTGCAGTAGTCTAGTGGCTACTCTTGCATGATTATTTGTGCACCATAGTACCGAGTCGTCAGCATGCTTTGCAGCATTATTACCATGTGGTTGTTCAGCATTTAGGTCGTTGATATAGACCAGAAACTTTCCCATAGCTTTCACATGCGATGCCTAAGAAGAATACTTGGCATTAAGTGGCAGGACAAAATCACAAACACTGAGGTACTGGAAAGAGCAGGTATTACAACAGTCTTTTCCATGCTCAGTCTACGAAGGCTTAGGTGGCTGGGTCACACCTTGAGAATGGAGGATGGCAGAGTCCCTAAGGACATCCTTTGTGGTGAATTAAAGACAGGAAGAAGATGTCGAGGCTGACTTCTACTACGTTATAAAGATGTGTGGACATGAATGATACAGGTATTGAGACAGACTCGTGGGAACCAAATGCCATGGACTGTGTTGTGTGGACAGGGCATATCAGAAAGGGAATGAGACTGAACAAGAAATTATTGCAGAAAGGATGAGAGCTGAGCGTCTGAAAAGAAACGGATTAAACACAAATGTTGTTAACAATGGTCCTGAAATCCCATGCTATCATTGTGGAAGACTTCTCTTGACACGGGTGGGTCTTGCTAGTCACACTCGCCATCGCCATAGGCTGTGAGTCTCATGCCTCATCATAGCGCAAAATAACACCATCGTCTGGAAAGACGGACAGGTGCCAATGAATGATTTAGTTTTTCCTCCTAGGTGGACCCAGCCTTGAGTGGATACCGGATGCAGCCCCGGTAGGTAAAGGCGGTCAGCGTGATGCAGACCACGTCACACATCTTGTGCCGATTGGTCTATAAAATTTAGATCTAGCCCTGTGTGCCCTATACGCCTAAAGGCGTGGAAAAGGATCCTTTACTTATTTCACAACAGCGTTTGGAGCTCGCAGCAGGGTTCCTTGATTAACAGCACGTTTCATATTTTTTAGTCGCTATGAGGGCGGAAAATGATAATTATTGTGTTACTAGTAATACTAGCTGGCGTGCGTGATCTTTACCACATCACTAATTCAGTGCCGATTTATCAATAAAAATATGGATCTGCTACCACAAAGCCGATGTGTGACGTAATATAAGACCCTTACATTACATTGTGTTCCCTTTAAAATCAACACATTTGCAGACATTCAGAGATTACAAAGTAACATGTTGAACAGACCAGCAATTAACATAATTATCAAATTCGCATACTTAGTATTATAGTTGATTTATCTTGTCTACAAAACCAGGTTCAAATCGCCTTGTCTGTTATGTGACCAACTGGTCTAGATACAGACAAATACCTGCGAAATTCTTGCCTGAAGATATCAATCCTAATATATGCACCCATATTATTTACGCCTATGCCGAGGTCATTGATAAGAAGATTATTCCTAGGTATCAGGAGGAAGATTCTAAGTCTGCGCTGCCAGGAATGTAAGTCTGAATAAATATATATATATACATTGTTTTGTTTCTCCTAACTTTTTCTCGCGAACCATGTTGTAGAATTCAAAGCTGTTTCTGAAAAAGCCGACCGCAGCTACCCATGTAAATATTTTTAGAGAAGCTAGTGCTATTTCAGGGAGGGACGGGGGTTCTGACGGGTTTAAAACATTCTGGCACGCTCTATCGTTAAGATCTCGGTTATTTTTAAGGATCTCTTAAAGGTGATTGTTGTATTCTTGGTTTGTAGTAGTAGTAGATTTTACCCCACTACGTCATCACATTAGCGCTAAACACCTAATGATACATAGTGCCACCATGTGGATGAGGATCACCCGTGGAGAGGTCCTAGAAACCGCGTTCAGCTATTAGACCATATTTATGGCCGGGCTATATTGCGAACCCGGGCAAGAGCCAGGGTGGGGCTTTAAAATAACGACAAATGGCATCCTGTAAGAGGATGACACGATTGACAACTTGGTTTGCAGATTCATAACGTGTTTGCGCTACTCTACTGCACTCTTTTATATACAAAACAAAAATGAAAATAAATGCGTCTATCTGTATGTACATTTCAGTCTATTGTCATTGTTTGGCAGTGCTATTTGCGACGAGTGTGTCTACGCGGTTCTAATAATTAACGCCACAATCACCAAACGTTAACAAATGCTGGAGTTATATACATTGAGTAACTTAATTGTTTCCTACGTCCTTTTAAATTAGTTAAACACCTTTCTTTCGCTATGCGGAGCAGTTGATCGGCGCCAGGCGCAATGACTAAACATACAGCAACGATGGAGACCTAGATTACGTAGAGAACAAGAAAAACATTTTTATCCCAGCTCAGGATAGAGTGACAGAAGCCTCATGGACCGAGTGATTCCATAGGTGTCTCTACTGCCCCCTCGGCTGTCCCAGTACCCCAAAGGGTGTGGTAGCATCCACTATGGAAAGCACTGTTTTAGGAGCTTTGCAAAGTTGTGTCTTCGGTGTGCTAGTTGTTGTCTAAGCTGTTATGGTTTTTCTCACATAGATGACGAGTTTACGCACACAGATGATAATAAAGAGACAGCATCACAGTTCATAACATTTGTTCAATCCAAAAGACAGCCTGTTCCAGTCACTTTCTTCTACTCTCTAAAAGAGGGAGCCGCGTTAGCGTAGTCGATAGGAGGCTCGTTTTCAAATCCAGCGGCGACTCGCTGCAGACACGGTTAGTGTTCGAAACTGGGCGGTTCCCAGGGTTCACCTAGCTTCTAGGAAATGGGTACCAGAGTTGACACTCTGGGGTGAATAGAGTAACGTCGCTGCGGACGGCGACATAGGCGGGCAGTTTCTTATAAGCTGTGCGTACTGGTGGCAGAGCACCTACGGTTTATTTCATTTGCAATGACTCTGGTTCGCATCTGCTGACTTTACCTTTTACATTTACTCTCTAGAATAGTCAAAGATTCAGAGAAATGCTCCTATATCATACATATCAGAGATGCGTTCGTTACCGTGCAATCGTTATGTTACCAACACAGTCGCCGAGCAGGCATCTCCGACAGCTGGCAGTTAAGTTTCACTATCAGGTTGGGTGTCTTCTTGATTAAACTCTGGCTAGGCTGTCATCTCGTAAATCCAAACTTTCTTCCACTTTTCAATTATACCATGATACATTGCCCGGCTCTCTAGCGTAGTTGGCTAAAACGGGTTGCGCGGAGACCGTGTGACGAACTCCTTCTGGTCCGGGTTAACCCCGGGGGTAGGCAGAAAAACCACATTTTCTCCCAGATTTACGGTATTTACAATGGAATCAACACCGAAATGTTGCGATATCCATAATACCGATCCCAAGGGTTAACAACTCAAGGCTTCTGGATACTAAAACAACAAACAAAGAATACCATGATACATTCACGCTCCTCTCGAACACAACGTTTCACTCTGGCTGCTAAACACCGACTGACAAGACCTTTGTCTCGTCCAGCAAACCCTCGTTCTGGGTTCTTCGTGCTGTCATACTTGCACTGATCAAATACCGCATGCTTTCGCGAGTCTTCGTGTTCTCAGGTAAATCCCCACTTATGCTATCTTTAGCCTAATACCGTAGTTAGGAAACACTTGAGGTAATAACCCTCATTTTGGGCTTCTTCCACTCCACCCTGGCGGTGACTCAGGGCTAACTACCTTAACCTGTAGAAAACATTACTTTCTACATACACTTATCTGAAGAGACGAACAGGAAGTCTCTAAATATGCAATGAAATAGGAAATTTATGGTCAAGAAAACGACGGCGTCCAAGAGAAAAATTAAAGACGAAAGGTTCCTGTTGTACATATAGTTTTTATTACGAAAACGGCAGCGGTGGAGACAAAGACGATGTAGAGGACGGGACAATAACATTTTATTTAATTACCCCGGGCGAAGCAATGCAATTTAATCTGGTGTGTATATATTTTTCACTATGATGATGAAATTAAAAGAAGACAAAATACAGACCAGACTTGACATTATTTAAGACTCAGAACAAGATACCGTCAGCCCAAAGCGCCCAGTGCTGCTATCGCTGACTCGGTCACATGTAGCTGCAGCGTAAAATGTTAATATATGGATAATTGTATCCTATGTCTCTTGGACATACGTTTGTGCATGCCACAACGCTAAACTGCTCATCATTTTCTCTCTTGGACTCCCTCTTTTCCCACAAGGTCCCCGCTGTTACAAAGTTTCTTTTTGTCACGATGTTACCAAACAATTTAGGCTGCCTTGGGTAGTTCAGTTATCTTACTGTAATTTTGAAACAGACCTGGTTTTGGATCTGGTGTCGACAATCTTCTATGTTGACTGGTGCATAATTACCTTTACAAAATATAATACACATAAACAGTTCCACGGCGATAGCTTGAAAATGACAGTCTTCCACGCTGAATAAATAAAACACGTCCAGCATTGACCAACATTTTAAAACTGCTTGGTTGCCAGGTTTTATCAAAGAAATCACAGCCAAATCTAGTTCAGAGGTCAACTTTTAACTTGATGCATTCATCCGCACCCTGGAATCCAAAACAAGACTCATCCTTCTCGATCATTCTTTGACACCCCTCCCCCCCCCCCCCCCCCCCCCTCCCCCCCCCCCCCCCCCCCCCCCCCCCCCCCCCCCCCCCCCCCACCCCCCCCCCCCCCCCCCCCCCCATCCCACATTAGTCTCTCCTTTGAAAACATAAGGAGGATTCGTTTGACTCGACAGTCCACTCACCATAAATTTGCGATTTTTTTTTTTTCATTCTAGACATGTATCCATCAATTTGCTCTCCTGCCCTGCATTACAATGTGTAATTCATTCGTCCTCAACCCAATTAATCCTAACTGAAGTACATAATTTATGTTCAGTATCTAACATAATTATTATTGCAAACATTAATTATAAGGAGAAAATGACTCGTTACACATACCGAGTAGGTTTCTTTTATCACATTTTTATTACTGTTATCACTTTCCACAGAATATAGTATGTTGCAAATACTTTAGTAATATGGATTTACAACTATTCTTAGTTAATGCTGGTGTCTGGGTATGAAATATGCAAAATAATGAAACACATTTACAATTAAATTGAAAACATTTTTTCACTGGTGCATGTTTATGCAGGAAGGGTAAAAATGGAACAACACAATCATAAATAGGGAACTTTGAGTTACAATCAATTAATAAGCCAGCAAAAAACAATGGCGGTGGAAAAGACATGTTTTGAAAACCTGATTATTATATATACTTCCGGTGCAATATAGTTCATAAGCTTGTTAGCAGAGGACACATTGAAAACTTATTTATTTATAGTCACTGTTTGCTGATGCAATTCACCATTTCTGGACTGAGCGTTTGATGATCCCATCGACCACCAAAGGAGCTGAGAGCACCCAAAGCCACCAAGATGGCCGTCAAGCAGCATTCAGCACCGTCAAAATATCCGCCAATAAGCGTCAAACGCAACCAAGATGGCCGTCAATGGGCATGCAGTGCCAAGAATGCTCCCAAGAAGCACCCAGTCCCACCAACATGGAAATATATTAGGTCAAGAAATAGTATAAATTATATAGTCCCATAGGAAGATAGACTGTGTGTGTCTTTTGCTGAGGTCCGTGTCTTGCCTCTTTTATCTTCCTACAGAGGTTGTCTTTTGCTATAGGTTTTATTGTGTAAATATAGATATCGTATCAGGTATATCTAGCTTTCTAATTATTTTAGGGATGATAGTTTTAATGTAGTCTGTAGCTGTAAAAATGACATAGTTTTGCATACATACACAGACACATACATGCACCACAGACACATATAAAGACAAATTATCCATTGAAAGTAAATTGTAATAAGTCAACATCTCATAGTAAACAATTAAGGCATGTTGAAACGCCTATAATTAGAGGCCCTTCCCACACCCTCAAACCCCGAGATAATGTAATGTCAGGTAACATCAAACTAAACGAAAGACACGGTCACTGCTTTAGTTGTGGCAATTTTTTTGTTTTTTTGTTAGTTTGGTATGCGCTTTTGACACACGGTGGCCGTTGCATTTTCCTTACCTGTAGACTGAACGGATATAGTTTCGTCGCCCAGCTACTGGGCTGAGTACATGACGCGACACTGTGCGCTGCGCATTTCATTCAGAATGTTTTTCATCTGTGACCACCGCAGTGTTGTGAGCTGTAGATGCAGAAAATCAGCGCGTAGCTTGCTGTGGTGCCTAAAATTGATCATTTATGCAACTGTTGATCTGTTGTATCTGCTGCTTCTGTCGATGATGAACTGCATTGCGATTGTCGGACTGTTTGTGTTTGCACTTCTCATGGTTGCTTTAGTCATTTAATGCGTGTGGATGCTAGTGCATGTGCCGAGACAGCAGTTTGTGTCAATTTTTCCACTAGAGACAATGATATACATTATGTGTCTGTTTTTCATTGGCCAAGGAACAGGCTAACTATGGAGTGAACCGATTGCTATGAAGATAAAACTAAGATTAAAAAGATAACAACGTAAACTACAACATGAAATGAGTGTAATATTTGCCCCTCTGTCCTTCTGTTTTGATATCTATCCTTCCATCTATCTGTCCGTCAGTGAGTCTGCTTGTTGGCCTATCTGTCTATCTCAGAATTAGTTTTCCTGAATGTTTAACGATCTTTCTGTTTGTCCTTTCATCTTTATGTTTATTCGTCTGTCTGTCGTTCACTGGAAAGACAATCACAGTGCTTGGCTTAAGGTATTAAGTATTAACATGTAACGCAAGTGGGGACGTCGTGGTCTCGAGGAATGGCATTCACCTAGAGTGTTCGATGTCGAGGGTTAAAGCCCCGATAAAGGCTAGAATTTTTTTTCGCGTGGACTTCAAACGATATTCCCTGATCTCTGGGTAAGTAGGACAGCACGCCTGTGTGTATTGTTGCGCATGCGCCTGTAAAAAAAGTACCTTAGCAGTTGGGAATCGAAAAAGAGTAGCCTAACGGCGCTGCACGGAAAATTTTGAGTCAAAAATCTACCTCACCGGTGCCACAGAGTTCGTGCACTGCGCTGTGATTCTTTAGACTCAGGCTTGAGTTAGAAGTAGAACGGAGCACTTATGGGTTACAACACTTGTGCCATGGTGTTGATCCGTCGATTAAACTAAACTAATGTAACACAAGTGTAATGACGTTTGCAAAGCTCCTATTTGAAAATATACAATTTTCTAGCTCTAGTAAGAAGAAAATGATGACTATGGTGATGATAATGTTGCTTCTGCTGCTGTTGCAGATGATGACGATGAAAATGCAGGACCAAAAAAATGCACGCCTTTTAAATATTTCTTTTACAGCTGCCTTTTTTTTCTTTCAGATATAGTCGTGTTTTGCAATCAAAAGCGTACAACCCGGTGTTAAAGGTACTCCTTTCAGTTGGCGGAGATGGAGCAGGCACTGTAGAATTCGAACGTGCCTCGGAAAACGCCGAAAGCAGACGCATATTTTCGGAGAACGCAGTTCGATTTCTGAGAGACAGAGGATTTGATGGGCTGGAAGTATTCTGGGCTTACCCTACAGCGAAAACTTCAGCTAATTTAAAAGAACTCCTACAGGTGACTGCTGTGTTCTTAGTGTACATCACATATTTAACGTGTTCGTTCTACTGCTCACTCTGTATATAAGGATATAATTTTAACTACAGTGATAAACTGGTGGTTGGAAGGAGTTGGGGTGGGGGGTTATGTTACCACAATCGACGTCACTGCAAATTTTTCCTCGAAGACGGCATTAACGAGCTTCACCATGCTTTACTCCCATGTCACGCAATCGTGTTAGTGTCAGGGATTCCTCATTATCCACTAGCCTAGTCCGTTCAGCGTTGTCGATATCTGCTCAGTCCATGTTTCTTCCCACATGCCTTAGTGCAGTTCTTGCCAGTTGGTCCGCTCGCTCATTTCCCTTTACGCCCTCATCATCAGATGTGTAGATCCAGGTGAGGCAGGTTAAGCGCGACTTTCGAAAGTTTTCTACCGATTCAGAGCGCATACCACCTGTTGCTATCTCCTGGAGCATGTTTATGGAGGCTGATACAATTACTGCCTGCGTGGCGGTTTGCTCGGATATCTATGCTAATTCTCTATTAATCAAGTAACAGAAAGTATTGTGAACGGCACTCATAGAAAGAAGTAGAAAGATAGAAGAACACACTAGACAACATAAAAATCGAAAGCTATAGTTACCGTGCCGGGAATTGAACCTGTCACCTCCAGACGGCGTCTGCGCCTCGCCATGAATACAAGTGCACTAAGATACATGGTCAACTCGGCACCCCCAAAAAAAGGTGTCTCATTGGCCATGTCTATCGTACAGCTTGAAATCCACGACTATGGAATACGGACAGAATTCATTTCAACCCATTGAAATGGCACCATAGGTTACAGAAATTTATATTAACGAGGGCAAATGTCAAATAACAATCACAGCAACAATTTACGTACACAGTAGACCTTATTGCCCTGTCTAGAATACACAAACATTTAAGAAAGGTATTTGATTGGTAGGTTCCGGTGTGTATACGTCATTCCTATAAATAAACAGAGGGGGGAACCATTTGAAGCCGTTAAATATTATGAATTAATCAAGTAACAGAAAGTATTGTGAACGGCACTCATAGAAAGAAGTAGAAAGATAGAAGAACACACTAGACAACATAAAAATCGAAAGCTATAGTTACCGTGCCGGGAATTGAACCTGTCACCTCCAGACGGCGTCTGCGCCTCGCCATGAATACAAGTGCACTAAGATACATGGTCAACTCGGCACCCCCAAAAAAAGGTGTCTCATTGGCCATGTCTATCGTACAGCTTGAAATCCACGACTATGGAATACGGACAGTTGAAATGAATTCTGTCCGTATTCCATAGTCGTGGATTTCAAGCTGTACGATAGACATGGCCAATGAGACACCTTTTTTTGGGGGTGCCGAGTTGACCATGTATCTTAGTGCACTTGTATTCATGGCGAGGCGCAGACGCCGTCTGGAGGTGACAGGTTCAATTCCCGGCACGGTAACTATAGCTTTCGATTTTTATGTTGTCTAGTGTGTTCTTCTATCTTTCTACTTCTTTCTATGAGTGCCGTTCACAATACTTTCTGTTACTTGATTAATTCATAATATTTAACGGCTTCAAATGGTTCCCCCCTCTGTTTATTTATAGGAATGACGTATACACACCGGAACCTACCAATCAAATACCTTTCTTAAATGTTTGTGTATTCTAGACAGGGCAATAAGGTCTACTGTGTACGTAAATTGTTGCTGTGATTGTTATTTGGCATTTGCCTCGTTAATATAAATTTCTGTAACCTATGGTGCCATTTCAATGGGTTGAAATGAATTCTGTCCGTATTCCATAGTCGTGGATTTCAAGCTGTACGATAGACATGGCCAATGAGACACCTTTTTTTGGGGGTGCCGAGTTGACCATGTATCTTAGTGCACTTGTATTCATGGCGAGGCGCAGACGCCGTCTGGAGGTGACAGGTTCAATTCCCGGCACGGTAACTATAGCTTTCGATTTTTATGTTGTCTAGTGCGTTCTTCTATCTTTCTACTTCTTTCTATGAGTGCCGTTCACAATACTTTCTGTTACTTGATTAATTCATAATATTTAACGGCTTCAAATGGTTCCCCCCTCTGTTTATTTATATGCTAATTCTCTAGAAGCAGCAGCTATTCTCATGGTTATGCTTGACGTGGTTGTCTGGTAAGCGCAGCTGACCTCCTCTATTGTTTCTCCCATTCTTCGGGCTGTGTATGCCCATGCTGACCTTGATCCGCGCTTCATTGATCCATCTGTGTAGATGGTGATATTTTCTGGGTCTAAATGCTGATCTATCAGTTCCCTTACCTCTGTGTCTACGGCCGCAGTAATTTGATCCCTGCAGTACATTCCGAGTGTGATGACGACCTTAGAGATGTCATGCATGTCTACTGGCGTATTCTTCCATTATTTTCCGTGACTGATCACGTCTAGGCCACACGCTTGCTGGATTAAATCCTCAGCCTTCGCCATACAAGAGCGCCCTTTTTTTAAACGTGTTCCTTTTGTGCCGTGTATAGGTTTGTACAGTGGGTGGTTAACTTCTGCCGATAACATCATGTACACCTTGACCTGTGCGACAGGGCATAACGAATTGCATTGCAGGAGGTGTCTTTTGTGCAGCAGAGTATGAGTCTCATTGCCTCATTTTGTACTCGGTCAAGTTTTTTCTAGCTGGGTTTTGCTGACAGTGAGGAGGCCAGGACCATAGTCAATGACGCCTAATACAAGCCCTTGATAGAGAAGGAAAAGTAGGAGTTGTTCTGTCAGACCTAAGTATGACGTTGTGTGACAAGCATCTGTCAAATGTGTGTGTGGGGGGGATAGGCCCGTCATGGCATTGTGTCAAAATTCCCAGATTCAAAACGCGATAGTGTAACCAAAAGAGCACAACTACATTGATTGTCTCTCTCTCTCTCTCTCTCTGTCTCTCTCTCTCTCTCTCTCTCTCTCTCTCTCTCTCTCTCTCTCTCTCTCTCTCTCTCTCTCTCTCACAAAATTCCAGAACATTTTTGTTTGTTTGTTCGTTTTAGTTTCCAGAAGCCATGAGTCGTTAACCCTTAGGCTCGGTATTATGGATATCGCAACCTTTCGGCCTTGATTCCATTGTAAATACAGTGAATCTGGGAGAAATGTGGCTTTTCTGCCTACTTCCGGGAGTGAACCCGGACCACAAGGAGTTCGTCACCCTGTCACCGCGCAATCCAGTTTAGCCAACTACGCTAGAGAGCCGGATTTCAGAACATTTTTAAACATGTTCCAGACTTTGCTGGTCAGAGCGCATACCACCTGTCGGATTAAGACTTTATGAGTCCTTTATTATAATTGTGTGCGAAAGTCACTAGGAGGTTGATTTGAGTTGGTTCAAGAATTGACATCACAGCACCCGAGGCATTCATATACGTGCTCCGTCCTCATCTTCAGCAGCCAGCGCATAGTTTCAGTACTAATGAGACCGGCCGTAGTCTGGTTATATGTCCACCTCACCTTAACTTTGAGTGTGGTGAGTCGGCCAGGCCTTCTGGTTACACCAAAGCGCTTCATTCTCCCCCGGCCATAATAATCTTGTTTCTCATTTGAATGCTTTGCTTGTCCCAAAGTGCTTTGACAAGATCTGCGTTGTCATATATCAATTCTCTAAATAGTGGTTCAGATCCAACCAATATGTCTGCCTGTTCATTCTCCATCACGCCGGCATGGCTTGGGGCAAAGATCTAAAGTATGCTCACTACTCATGTCCTTCTCAGTGAGGCTTGCCACTCTGCTCAAAAGGGCCATGTCTTCATCTTTCCCAGCATGCTTTCAGAGTCCGTTACAATTACGACACATGTATGCATCTTGTTCTTTTGCCATCGAAAAGCTGCAGTTACCTACTCCACCTCCATTCTCATGCTAGATGTTGTGGTATCGTATGCTAGGATGTCTTGCACTAACGATTTTTTATTCTCTTCCCTCTCAACACCGAACCATCTTTATAGATAATCAGATCATCTGAGTGAGAATTGCCGTGAATCAACTGTTGGACTTTCATCTCCGTAGCACCCGCTGGCTACTCTCTTCCCTCTCGACCCAATGTGATCATATCCCTACACAGGTAATACTTTTCCTCTCGTACTCTGGCCCACTCTTCTACTCGCCCAATGTTCTCCAGCATGCATACTTACTTATTGTGTCTTCTGCTTGAGACATCGAGGATTTTCCCTTTTCAGCCTCTAACCCTTTCTGCAGTCAAAGCTTCATACAGAGGGTTTCTTTGTCTGCAGCTACCCTGAGGTATGACTTAGCCTGCATCACCTCTAGCTTATTTGCAATAGTTGAGAGAAAAGCTAGTGCTTTGTGAAGCTATATTGTGTTGACGAGTTGTGAGTGCAAACATTTGAGTCACTTGCAACTTGTGAAACAGAGATTGCTTGATATTCACAGATAACTGCAGAAACCCACGGTTTTGGCGAGAGAAAGAGAGAGGGAGAGAGAGAGAGAGAGAGAGAGAGAGAGAGAGAGAGAGAGAGAGAGAGAGAGAAAGCGAGAGAGATAGAGAGAGAGAGAGAGAGAGAGAGAGAGAGAGAGAGAGAGAGAGAGAGAGAGAGATCCGCGAGGAGTTGACCGCAGGTGGAAAACATTTCGTAGCAACTGGAGTCAATCGGTCGTTTTCAATCGGTCTAAGCGTGTAGGCTTATGCGCGAATTTTGGTGTGACAATTTTCAACATCATCATCAGATGCCTTGCCGACTAGCGTGGGCGATCATGCCTCTCCATATTCTGCGATCTCTTGCAGCATGTATCAGTTCGTGTGCCGACACACCTCCATACTATGCAACAAGACTGTCAAGCATCTTCTCTCGTTGTCTTCCTCTATCTCTTCTTCCACATATCTTTCCAGTGGTCACAACATGTTCTATTTTCCCTCTTCTCATAACATGGCCGAAAAATGATGACTGTCTCCTTCTGATGTCTGTGATAAGTTGTCTTAGGACTCCGCCTCTTAAATGGCGTAATACTAGAATTTAGTC